TATTTGATAATACATTAATTAAACTTTGATTTATGAACGAAGTGCCGATTGCTAATATCCGAAAAATTGTTTGTTAGTTTCTCTTGATACTCAAAACATCATGTATATAAAGAAAGAAATAGTGTAAGAAGCAAATTAACCCTAACCAGTATTTTGAATATTATAGTTACTATATATTCTTGAAAATTCCTAAATCTCATTTATTCAATGTTTACCAAAATATGTTCGTCGTATATCGAAATTTCTGGATTGACGAGTCGCGATATATTCCCTTTGTACAAGTGTTTCTCGTTTTTTATTTACTTATTAACAAAATGAATATTTTATAAATACGATTTTATTATTTTGTTATAATATTTCTCGAAATTTATGTAAAGAATAAAATGCCTTCCAACATTGACAACTTTACAATCACGATCCCTACAGGAAACAAACATGGACGACGCTTCTCAAATCTCAAAAATGAAGGTACGAAATTAATTACCCGTAGCGTCATCATTTGCCCCTTCTCTCTATCTCGACCAACTTTCTAAGAAGGCGAAGAGCCCGGTGAGTAATACAGAAAAGGAAAATTGAAGGTGAGAGCGTTATTATAGGGCGAGGAGAAGGTTAATGGTGGAGGTAGCCGAGTTTGCCGCTTTTCAGACCCGTCGTGGCGCAGTGCCAGACGCGGTGCCAGACTCACAGGGGCTTTTAGACCTCGTGGCGGTGTTGGTCCTCTTGGGGGAGGTGTCTCGAGGAGGCTTTTCCACGCCAGGCTAGACGAGAAGGTATCTATGAGGCTCGAGAAGACGGTGTCGCTTGTGCTTTTGGAGGAGTGGTGTGGATGGACGCAGCTTTTCGCATTTTCTTTCACCCCTTTTCGTTCTTTATTTCCTTTTGGGAGAGGGAGGACTCTATCCCCTTATGTCCTCGAAAGTTGAAAGAAGGATAAGTGTGTTATGGGCGTTGTGGAAACAGCAAAGAGAGTAAGATTTGTGGGTGAAGGTCCAATGTTTGCCAAGCTCTGAGGGAATGTTGTTGATGTTGCCAGATGTTTGGTTTGTTTATTTTTGGTAATTCTTTAATTCCACACAGCTATCTAATCTTGCAATTATTACGCCACATTTCAGTAATTCACCTTTTGATATGTTTGAATCTCTTGTTATCCAGACTGTAGAGTATTTTTCTTGTGCAGGGAATATTACATTTTTTCATGCGGGGAAAACATAATTTTGTCTACATTTGCGTGGATGGATCTGCCGATGGATGATGAAACAAGTGCTGGGAAAAGTCAAAAGAATTTTATGCGTGGAAGATTATTTAAAAAAGAACTAAGTGCGTGTGGAAAGTTACCCAAGAACTACATTTGCGCGGACAGAATTAGACCAAATAATCTTTTGCACGGGAAACGCATTCCCCACGCAGACCAAACTCTGCAGTCTGGCTTGTTATCATCCATTATAAGTAAAATTAGTGAAAGTAACCTTTAACCTTTGGCCAATATAGATAACGGGATAGTGGCTTGTGCTCTAAACAATTTTGATATTTTTCTGCAGGAAATCCACTGATTTCAACAGTTGATTCTTTTGCAAAGGAATCGTTAAGATCTGAGTACCATTTCCATTGGCAATTTATATTTGAGTCACAGTAGTAGGGGAGGGCATGTAGTATATCAGGGAAAATGTGGGGTAAAATAGGCTGAAATAATAAGAAGAATAGAGAACTAAAATGGGTAAAACTAGAAAAAACAACAACTCAAAATCGCTAAGTGAAACTATGCTCATGCACCCTCCATCTTTGAAAGACTATGGACCGATGTGCCAAAATTAGAAAATCTGCGGGAATTCAAACCCCGAGTAGTGGTCGTACAAAGCGTCTTGGCCAATAAACTGACTTAACTCCATGTCACAAACATTATTCAACAATCCAAGTTGCCGTGACTGGGCATGTCTAGCACGCCTAGAAGGGTTGATGGGGGGCTCTGCCCCCAACACCACCTGGGACACCTTCTTTTCACCTCGGTATGTATGGCTAGATAGAGCTGCAGCCATACTGTAAGCAATAAACCAAATACCTTACTTGATGGGCTCAGATATCAAACTGCAATGATTATTAAGGTCTATTTCTTCCTTATTGGCATTATACAGTCTTAAGAATTACCCAGAATTATTGCAACACTGAAAATTAAACATTTCTCACTGTCTTTCTGTTACTGAATGGCCAGAATGTGTCTGTCATACCTGGCGCCTAATTATTGTAAAGAACTGTATAAATAAATCTTAAAACATGTAAAGGAAGTATAACAATAATGATAAATGACGTTAAAAGTATAAATGTGATACAGCAGACACTGATATTTAACAAATTATCATTTTGACAAGCTTTTAGTAACATGTGAACTACTTGGCATATTGCAGTAATGAGTTATGCGGTCAGTGCAGTGTTTACCCTTGACATGTGATCAAGATGTGCTGCTTAGTTAAAATTGGACTCTCATCTCAATTCTTTTACATATAGCACCTTTAGAAAGCATTACTATAGAAGGAAATTGTCTTGGTTTGTATATTTCTATTATTTTGTGTAAGTTTTATCACCCACCTCAGACACTACCTTGTAATGTTTATTGTCCAGGCCTTCTTAACTAGGGGCCTTCTCCCCCAGGTTCCCTATCCAATCGCCATATTTTCGTCTTTCCCCTGGACCCCCACCCATTTTCCGTGGACATACTCTCTGGGTGGCATTAGTCACAATCCATTTTCTTAATTTCTGAGGTTATACTACGCTGGCATAGATTATTTCTTTTATCAGTAATTGTAGTTTTTCCATTTCTTTCCGTTAGTGTCATTACTTTTTTCTATGAGTGTATCCCAAATTATTACATGTTGCACAACTTTCTTATTATCAACTATTGATACCATAATTGAAGAATGTATATATTTCTTTCTTTCATTCTGTCCATCATGGGCAAAGTTTACATCATACCATATGTCTGTGTGAAACTAAAACTACAGTTGAAGAGATTAGCTGTGCTATTTCAATGTTATTTATAGATAATAAAGTTTCTGGATATTATTTTTCGTCTACCAAAATGCTGTACAGTATTAGAAATACTTTTGATTTATTGATCATTCAATTTGCAACATCTTTCCTTAGATTATTATCAATCACAAATGACTACTAACCCCCCCAAAATAAAAAATTTGAAGACTTTTCATTTATGACATTTCCATCTCTAGTTGATAATAAGGAAGCTGTTTAGCATGAAAGTAATATTTAGGTGTAAATTTACGTAATGACCACACTAAGATGGGGAAAATCTAAGAACATTGTCATAAAGAGAAGAAAAAAATGATTGGCTTGGTGTCCAGAGACAAAGTAGGGAAATACAGCAATCGGGTGGGGGTTAAGAAGGATTTTGGATCATACAGTAATGTTTGTGGATTCCCAGGAGTGCCCCCAAGGTTGTTGGCTGGAGTAGGGACTCAGAGGGGCATAGTCACAGTGGTGACACTCCGTAAAGGCCAGCAAACTCCAAGATGGAGTATGTAGGTCCCCCTGGTGTTTATCATCAGGTAAGAAAACTTTCTCTACTCCATTTGACAAAAGGTCATGGAAAGCACTGCAATGCTCTTGAGTTTCAGTTCTATCTTGCTGTGCATACCAAGGTGAAGACAGTGTTTCTCGGGTATGTCGGGGGGCAGAGCCCCCTGGGCACGCCTAATCAGGGCTACTTAGATTGATGATAGTAAAGTAAGGGACATCTCTGGCAAGTGTGTCCATACTGTAAAGAATTACCAAAATATTTTGCAGACACAAATGGTAACACCATAAATAAAGGGAAAAGGTCGTGGAAAGCACTGCCCACAGCCAAGGTCCACTTGGTGCTCCCAAGTTTCAGCTCTATCCTACCTTGCATACTGAGGTGAAGACAATGTTTCCCAGGGAGTGTTTGGCCATCAATCCTTTCCTCAGGCAGTGCCCAAAGGGCAAGCCCATTCACGGCAGCTCAGATTACTGAATAAATTTTGTGACATGGAGTGGGGGACTTAGTTTCTGGTGAGTGCATCTGTACTGTAAAGAATTGCCCATTAATTAAAGAATTAATCTCTCTCTGGAGAAAGTAATAACATCACATTCCTCGTACATCATTTTTCCTCAAGATTTGTAGTGTCCATACATCAAGTTGTAGCACTGACACAGATAAAAGCAAGTTTCATGTGGGGTTTGAGAGTTCCAAAGAAAAAAGTCCTAAATACTTAAAGAATAGATAGTGATATAGAGTAAGTTTTGATGCACTTTAGGAGAATATAAGTTCTAGAATGTGGCTGTCTTAAAACTAAAGTAATTCTGTAGAAAGGCTTGCCAACATAATTGGTATCAGTGCATTTAATGTGTCCAAAGTTTTGGTCCATAGAAAACATGTGCTGTGATGATATTAGGCAGAGTACAAAATGTGCTGGAGAAGATACTATCAACAGCAGTAATTTATGCTAATATCATGCAAATGACAGTGTTAGCAGATAATCACCTTAACAGAAACACATCTTCAACTGATCGCCAGGGTCTATGTGCCTACAACTCTCTGACAGACGTAAGCAAATTTTCATAATATATTTGGGCTAGATAAGGCTTGTTCAGTTATCAAATTTGATGATAATTGCCGGGGAAGTTTACAAGACCTGTTTTGCAAGGATATGTACGTGAGATTGAGGTTGGTTACCAATTGACAGAGTGCTAACAGGCTCTAAATGTTATGCTCTAATTATTGCTAATATCATCACTATCTTTGGTTTCAGTGGACTAAAAGTATTATATCTGGACAGTTTGTGTCAAATGTAATTTATTGATACCAAATTGATAGGCACAGGTGACTCATGGCTTTACTGTGAAATTACCAAGGCCATACATGTGTTGGTAATTATTCTAAACACTTGTGCGCAGTGGATCATGATGGTGGTGGTATTGATGAATTCCTCTCACCCATTACTATTCACTTGCTACTACTATGCTGGCTTTATGGCCATCAAACCCACCCAAGACCCCACAAACTTTGCCCAGTAGTAGTGGAGGGCATGAAGGATACCTGGCATATTGCTGGTATTAAGGTAATGAAGGTCAGTACCTTATCTGATATTGGGGGCTGTGTCCCCTGCAACCCCCTGCTTCCCAGACCTCTGCCCTGGAAGACAAGCTAGGGATTTACACAAACCTGACAGTTTAAGATGCCCATGTATGGTGGAAGGGGCTGCTTTCTTCTGTGGTATAGACTTTGACTAGCAGAGCTTCCCTTCAACCCCATTTGGCTTCCATTCTTGCCATGGTTGTTGTGGATTGAGTCACCGGTGGCATAACCTCAAGACAATTCCTGTGCTTGTTTTTCTCCAATAGTAGCAGCATCATTTGTATGGTGTAACTTTTAGCAGTGTACTTACAGTGAAAAGAAACTTCCCATTTTTCACCAGTATACACATGTCATTCCAAATTTGGACCCCAAAGTAGGGGGGAAAACTCTAAGACCCGTTGACCTGACCACTCGGTAGATGACATTGCATATAGAATATGATCAACACATGATAACATGCCATCTAGTGTCAGATGCTGGTATTTTTTGTATGATTTATGTGTTTCCATACATTCCTGATTCCATCGTGGAACCACCTCTTCGAGAATGGTGTTGTAATGTTCTTGGGACCAACTCTCTCCGGTAGTGTGTATGAGTTTTTTTCTTGATGCAGGAGACTGTGCCCTGTATATTACATCACATATACACATCTTAATCTCACAGGTTAGAGTAAACCCCCTTTGGTATTGGTCTAATATGCTACTAACAGGTGGAGTTTGTTCTTTAAGGCAGGGATTGGGTGTTGCCAGGGGTGCACTCTTTGCATTAGATTTATAATTTGGGTTTTACAAATAATTTTTCCATGTTTGATTTTTTATCCCATAATTTCCCTGGTATCCTCCATGCCCTCCCCTACTATAAGGGCATGTTTGTGGGGTCAAGGAGCACCATGAATAGATATGTGAATAATAGTTGGTGAGAGGAATCCATTAGTACTGCTGTCACTTTGATCTTTTATACACAAGTGTTTGGTATAATTACCCTGACATGAAATATTCATTTCAAAGAACATTAAATTGAACAAGTGTAAGTAAATGAGGAAAAGGATACGTATATTAGTAAGGGTTTTCCTGATGTATTTGATGAACATTTTACTGAAATGCGTGTTATGTATGTATGTATGTTATATTTACCATTATTACTGCCAAGATAAGACTGTTGCCAAAATTCAAGCCAGCAGATATTTGGCAGTGAGGTTTTCCTGTTTCACTAATAGTGAAAGATGGTCAGAAAAATTGACGGTGATTTAGTTATCAACATTTATAAATGATGTGGTGTGTTTATCATTAAATACAATTTATGAAGTAAATGTCATTGACGTTAATGTAATATTTAAAATGCATATCACGTATTGATTATATGAGTGGAAGCACAGTATTCAGGATCTTATATCTGCGTATATAATTATATATAGATAAAGATAGATAGAAAGATGCTTTATATTACCGCAATAGTATATGAATTGAGCTCTGGCAAAAGTGATAGGAATATAGCAATAGGAATAGAAATCTTGAGTAAACAACCTGCAGGCGTAAAGTCTTAGTAAACCTTGCACTACAGCAGTACCAGTAGTTCTCTCTTTGTGTGACCAGGGTGCACGTGGGAAGGGTGGACAGCTTTTATGTCAATGTTGTGATGCGCACATAATTTTCCAGTTGTAACCATGGTTTAGCCCTTCATTTGCATGCTCTTCCTGCCGTATATTAAAGACTGAGAAGAGGAGGTTTTGGTCAATGGAGATGCAAACAAGCTATAAAAAGAGAAACATCATGTCCCAAGAGGCAGATGATCACTCAGTTTTAACAAAAGGTTTAGAGTATATGACTTACCCTTCTGTGTGATATGTATTCATGCTAATGATCATATAAACTGTACTTGATATTACACCTAAGAAATGTATTAAAATTATTCATCATATTGTGTTCTGTGATAGATTAGTCATTGCAGTTGGACAGGGAAGGTGTAGCCATTGCAAGAAAAAACAATAATTCCAGACACTCTCTTTCAATGCCATATTGTACATGGTCTACTAAATAATATACAAGAGTGCATTATCAGAACATTTGGACAACTAAATTATTCATATTTTTCTGTGAAGTTGGAATTTTCTGTAAGTCTCTATATCCACCCTCTTCTCACAAGTTATACAGCATTAGAAATTAATCCTTATATATGATCCAGCACTACACATGTAGCATAACTAACAATATTTAATTTGCCTTTGCAGTTAGTTTGTTTACAGAAGAAAATTCTTTATTTTTTTTTCTCAGTTTTTATAAAATATGGTAAAGTTTTACTATGTTTTCTTTTCTTTTTTCTTTTCTTTCTTTAACTCATCGGTGCTGAGTAATTACTGTCTATTGTTGTTTTCTTTTTTGAATTTTGTTTGCACAGATGTGGCTCCACAACTGCTTAGTCAACAAGGAGCCAATTCGTAAGCCTACATATCTTCAGCTGATTTCCCCTTTTCTTGTTTTTGGAAAAGTTCTCTTCTATTCTTATCAATCTCGGTGTTATTATTTTTGGGAGCATTATGATTATTAGAGTTTTATTAACAATACTAATTGCAATAGGAAAAAATACCTGTGGAGCCACCTATGTATAAAGATAATCAGTAAACAAAAAGGAACAATAGACAACATTTTTCTTGTAATCCTGGCAGCTATGGGTTAATCTTTATGCTTTAACTTGTCTCTCCCTTCTTTTTCTTTCTTTCATTCTTTGATTTTTCCTTCTACATTGCCAGTTACCTAAATTAGAAATTTGAATGACCCAATATATCAAAGATAAACATCATTCAAGAAGTTGTGAATCATCTTCCAATAGGAGTGTGAGAAGCAGGTATGATTGCAAACTTTCATAATTGATTTTGCTCTCTCTAGGTCGCTGACCTGAAGAAGGAGTTGAAGGCGAGAGGATTACCTGTGACAGGCAACAAAAATGAGCTGGTGGAGAGGCTGCAAGAAGCTCTAGAAGCTGGTAAGTTGTGGGGTCTATGTTTGGACTAATCTAGGCTATGCTATATGGTATCCTTCTCTGTAATTTTGTGTGTGTGTGTGTTTGTGTGAGTGAGTGAATGAGTGAGTGAGTGATGTATTTGTATTGAAGAATTTGTTTATTTTGTTATGCTGTAGTTATTTAGTGAAATGTATTTTTGTCTGTTATTTTATATGTATTATGAGTAGATTTGGGTAACTAGAAGTCAAGATTCTGTGATCAAGCACTCTCACTTTACACATGCAATGTAATTTCTACTTGCTTCACAGATGGAAATGTTCCACTGGGCACAGTAGATGGAGAAGACGAAGAATTTGATGAAGAGGAGATCCTTGGAGGTGATGACATGGATACTGTAGACATAGGGAAGCTGACCCCGCAGGAGGAGGCAGCAGCTTTGGGGGTCAACATCAGTGTACGAGATGTAAGTAGACAGCATTGGTCTTTGTTAGTGACAGTGTAGATTGTTAATCTATATTAATTTTTATTACTTATATCTGTCCAAGCGTGTTATCAAATATTAGTGCCATAGGTAGCTTTTGATAAGATATTCTTATCTCTGCACAAGATTCTGAGTGTCTCACTCCCTCAGGTTTGTAGGCATGTGGCTTTGGAATTGAAGGAGTCAGTTGCCTGTCATATCTTTAAACATTATTTCTTTAACAAGTTGGATCCAGATGCCTCGTTTCCCGCACATGAACCAAAATCTGGGCATTAGGCTTACTTGAGTGTTGATTCTCCCTGGTGTGTGCCTTGTAGTCCCATCCATGCAGACAATCATTTATAGTAGCAAGACTGCTTGACTCCCCTTTGCAATATTGTTATCTTTTTTTCATATTTTTTTTTTTTTGCATTTTTGCCATTTACAAGTTCTATACTTGTCATTTGATATGCTTTCTCAAGAAAGTATTAGTTTGTTTTCCTTGTACAGACTTCATATCCCTCATCTGTTTACAATAACAGTAACATGCACCACATGGCAAGCAGGAATAGGATCCTGAACTTGAAAATGATTACAGAGAGTACATTCTTCCCTCGTTTACTGATGGAAATAATGCAGGAGCCCCTTCCTAAATGCCTACAAAGTCAAATCTCCCAAGAACTTTGTGCATGCCTGGTGATTCATTCCCACTGCCCTGGCCTTCAACCAAATTTTTCATGGCGGCATATTCCTGTCACCTGTCACTCAACCAAATTTTTTTCATGCCATCCAAGAGCCATGAATGAAAGTGCCGAGTCTAGGGATGATGTAGTTTCCATAATCGGGATCCTATTCCAAGTTTTATTACAGAGATTAGATATGATGGAAAAAAAAGGCTACTTATTGTTATTATTATTGCACTGAGTTCTGGACTACCTAGTGAGATGATATGGAGTCTGTACAAGGAAAACAGTCTATTACCATCTGGATGCAGCATATTAAGTGACAAATATAGATCTTAGGGAGGAAAAAAACGCTTATCCACAAAAAGAGATAACATTGCAAAGGGGAGGCACAGCATCTTGTTGCTGCACGTGAGTTTTCATGTGTTCCCAGCCTACAAGCCACACACCTGTCAGATTAGCAGCTCAAGTAAGCAGGCAGTGAAGCACCAGGATCCAAGGGGTTGAGTGGGTGGAATGGGTGTAACACATACCTCCTGTATTTACTTCAGCATATAGTGTGTAATTCATCATGTTGAAACTGTTGTTTGCACTTCCACCTTTATTTCATTAGGAACTGAATACAACTGATCTCAACCAGGTGTCCACAATGCTAGAACAGCCAGAAAAGAAAAAAATCAGCCTGAAGAGGTCTGAGCCTCCAGTGCCCACAGCCCCGACCACCCCCCCTCCGACAGAGGCCTCCAAGGAAAATACTTCACCTGAAAGCCAGAGTGAGGGTCAAGAGGATGGCGTGCCTTCCAAGAAGCTCATCAGACTGAGTTCCACTGAGAACAAGACTGTGAGTGTATCTCGGCATTTTTTTGAGTGTGAGTTTGAGTGTGTGTGTGCGTGAGTGTGTGAGTGTGTGTGCATGAGTGTGTGCGTGAGAGTGTGTGTGTGGGTGTGTGTGTGGCGCGTATGCGTGTGCGTGTGTGTTGTGTGTGTGTGTGTGTGTGTTTGTGTGTGTGTGTGTGTGTGTGTGTGTGTGTGTTTCCATTTCTATCCAGCTTCTTTCATGAATATGATGTGTGTGTTGGGTTCTCCTGTCTTTTTTTAACCCATGTTTACATACTTATGTTCCAACGGCTTTAGCTTTAGAGTTTAGAATATCTCCTTCCTTTTTCATCAGCAAATTGAGGCGAGAGCTGAAAGATTTGGTATTCCATTGAATGAAGAAGCCAGAAAGCAGGCTCGTGCAGAACGATTTGCTGGTAACAGTACTACAACAGCTGTCAACAAAAAACCTGCTAAGTTGTCTATGGAAACAGGGGTAAGATAATTACCAGGTGATGAGGTAGATAAGTTAATGTAATGATAATATAGTTATGTTTGTATCATTATGAGAAAGAAAAGGGCTTTTGGCTTTTCTGCACATAACCTTTAGAATGGATATCCCAAAAAAAGATCCAGTGATATCTGTATTGAATTGAGCGTAAAATCACTAATGCAAAAAGTAGCAAATATTTCTGGACTAACATTTCATTTATAATTCTGGCTGAATATTTCTAGGTATCACAAATATTTGTTTGATGCTAATAGTATACACATTTCTACTTGCAGGGAACAGACATTGAGAAGTTGAAAGCTCGTGCCAAGCGCTTTGGCGAAGTAACTTCCAAGTCACTCACAAAGGTAACCTGTAATGTATGTTAAATCTGGTATAAGTATGATATACTTTTCTATGTAATTACCATAAGTGAATCATTCATCCACATTAGCGTTTAACTTCTCTGTGCCAAAGCACACAGGTAGATGTGGTTGGCAGATACTGGGCTTGATTCACCCAGTCCCCTTACGACAAACCTGTCTGTTCATGCTATTAGTTTAACCGTACCCATGAAATATTGACACATCCACAACTATATGCCAGTGTCTGTCATCCCACATTGACTGGATAGGTTGAAAAGAGCCCTGCATTTAGATTTTTTCTATCTTTCTCAACCCTCCTTTTTTTATGATCATAATTCAGGTTTCGGAACTGGAAAAAATGAAGCAAAGGCAAGAGAGATTTGCCGCAGGAGGAACGGAAACGAAGGGGACAGGTGAGTATAAAATGTACTTTTACACATTTCCTTGTATCTATGGTAAAAAGATATTGATCTAACTTGCAGACTTCTCTGCATATCTGTGATATCATTTAAAACCGATTAGTGCTTGTTGATGTGATAGTATAGTGGATGTGAAACAGTAGTGAAATGATATATTATTTTGATTATAAAAGCACTTCAGATGCTCAGAAAAGGTGCTAATTCATGTCTGATAGCCTTTTTATTGGGAAAGAAGTTGTTCATCTGTTTGAAACTTCTGGTAACAATACATCTTTTCCAGGAGTGCAGATTCCATTGTGTGTGATAAGTCTCTTGGTCTTACAGATAAAAAGGAATGAACCTCAAATTTTTTAATGATAACAGAATTTAGTCTAAAATGGTGTATAAGAAGTTCACAGTACAGAGCTGAAATTTTCCTTCTGTCATCTTTCGATATCCTAATGTCCATATACTATCTATACTTTGGTCTGTTTGCATTCTTCATCTGTAAGTAAATTGTTACTAGTAACAGATTCTCTTTTCACATTCACAGTTTGATAAGTACTATTCCAATGTTTGTGTTTCCTGAGATTAGATTTATTTGCAGAACCAGCCCAGATGATGCTAAGGCTGCAAGAGCAGCAAGATTTGCCTCAACAACTTCCTCAGAAGACGAAATGAAGAAGAAGCGCGCAGAGAGATTTGGCATACAGTGATGACACCCGTGTGATGGTTCTCTCAGATAAGTTTCATTGTACACCTATTGGACTCAAGACCAGCAAAGAAAACATTCTGATTGCAATTGCATCAAGCCAAAGAAGGGGATTCATATCTGCTGTATGATAAATCATGATCAGATATCATATATGTATCTCTGAAAAGTTGTAGCCATCAGTGAAGCCAGAGAACAGCATACTGCAAATGTTAGTTGAAAAAAAGATTATGGGAAAAAAGCATCTGACAACATTTTTTGATTATTTAAAAGAAATATAAAAATGAAACATTATTAAAGATATCTGCCAAATCATGGGGAAACAAGGCATATACAATAAATTAGCAGGGTGGAAGACTTCCACTTCAATAGAGGCCTTTTGTGTCCACGTAAAGAGCAAGATTGTCAATGAGTTGGAATGCTCAAGTATATAGTTTAGAATGTTTCTAGAACATTGCAGTAATCTTGAGTAACACTGGCTTAACTTCAGTACAAAAAGGTACTTTCTAAAAAAGAAATTTTAATGTTAATTGTTAGTGCGATTTGCTTGCAAGAAGTGTAGGTGTTCAAAATTATTTGTGTGTAATTTCTCATTCTTTTCCCCAACTGTATGGCATTCTTCTTTTATTATGAGTATTTTATAATTTTATAGGTATTCCATTTAGGGAGGACACACTTTGAAGATATCATTCATGTTTAGGAAATTGCAATTTTTATTGTCTTTCAGGTATTAGAAATCCAGATAGATAGAATGATGAAGATGCATTATTTAAATGTAATTTGCGTAAGGAATAAACTTTTATAACGTTTTCTGGTCTTTTGATATTCTGCTTTTTCCCATTTTCTCTAATGACATTTTCTTGTAATTAGCTTTTGTAGTAATATTAATAGTATTATTTTATTACAAACATTTATTTATCAGTACTGTTTTACTAGCTTATCTATAGTAATATTTGGTTAACTATGTGTAAATTCTCTCTTTAGGTATGTAGCAGTTTATCAGATATATATTTTTTTTCTATTTTTCTTTCTTTACTCTCATTTCTGGATAGCCATGAATCACAAGCATAATAATCTGTAGTAATAGATGGTGATATGGGTGCAGGGTAGTATTTCTCTGATTTTTTTTGCCATTACAGCATAATTTTATTGATTTGATAGCCATTACTTTCCTTAAAATCTTGTTGCTTACAATTTTTGTTGTTGTCTTTGTTTTGTTTCTATTTTGTTTTTTTTATGTAGGTCACTATAGCCCCAATAACAAATGATTTGATTGATCAGATTAATTAATATATGCCTCGGTAGGGCTGTTGTATACAAATATAGTACCTGATAATCTCATTTTTAAGAACTGAAATCATAATGAATAAGTTGTTCTTGTGGCCGAAGTAACGACTCCTCATAAGTGGGGTTGCTTTTACATCCATTTTTGATAATGCTAACTGTCTGTGTTTCTTGAATACACTTGCTTGTAATGCAGATTAATCTTTGTTATATACAGTTTTGCCCAATAGAGTGTGATTTTGGTGTTAAATGAATTTAGCATATGGAAAGGATGATATGCGTTACTTGTTTTGGTATTGGGTGATTAGATTGGTCATTGTAAGGATGGTAAACTCTTTAAAAGCTAAGATGTATTTGTGCATTACATGAGAAAATTATGGTGCAAGTTATTACAGAAAGAAGCTAGTATTGGCAAATTTCGGCAAATTTAGTATATATATTTTTTTCTGCAATTTCTGTTTATTCTATTTGCTTCTTTTTGTTTTTCAGTTTAGAATACATTTTCTGAACAAAAGCAATTCAAAAAAACAAGGCAGTATGAGCATGTGTTTATAACTTCTTTTTTTTTTTAGCTTTTGTAAACTTGGTATATGTAGAGGTTGTTTTTATATGTGTAAATTTTTATAGTAAAATTAAGCACATTAATACCTTTACCCTTTGAGGTAAAATACTAGAAATATCACATGGATACTAACCACACATTGTTCGTACTGTACCATTTGTGATTATGTACCTTTATCACTGCATTGAGAGCATTTCTTTTTTAATAATAATTACATGAATATTTTTGTCTTTCTTTTACCTCTGAAATAAAGAATATAGTTTCATTAGTCATCGTTGGTATTATGATTGCTCACACATCTTCAGGTCCACTGTATTGTATTCTGTATTGTTTTTTGAGCAAAGAATGCAATCTGAGTGTAGAATACAGTACCTCATGATGACAGCTTTTGCCCACAGCAAACCAAGGCATGTTCTAGGTGCTACATACTTGGTTTGAGGGAAGAATTAGAAGTACTGGACACATGGGTTTTTAGTTGTTTAGTGATTTTTTAATAGAAGAGATGTAAAAGAGACTTTAATCCCATTTTAGAAGGCTGCACTACTTCAGAGATGACAGACAGGGCCAAACAAGTGAATGACTGCTTAGCTTGCACAGCATAACACAGATTCAACTACATAGATACTTAACCATTCAGCATATGGGCTCAGTGCTTCATAGCAAGAATAGAAATCACCCAGTGTAAACAGGTTAATGTCAAATTTAGATTTACATGAAGTTCAGTACACACAACATACACCACATGTGACACATGCAGCATATGGACTTAGTGTTTTATGGCAATAAATAGATGCCACCTGTTGTGAACTGGTGAGGTTACCTGGTTTCAATTTAGCAGGTGAGTTCTACCATGCATATTTTCAATTTTTTTGTAGAATTAAACTGTAAATTTTCAAATAATGAAATCCAAATTTCAACTTATTTTTTATGAATACCAGACTTACTAATTCTAAGATCTATGTCTAGGTAAGTGTGTATGACATGGAGCAGTTTTGACATCAAGTGAAAAGGATGCCATGCAACATATGGATTAGTGTGCTTCATGGCAAGAAGAGATGTCATCTGGTATGATCAGATGAACTCCAGCCTTTTCAGAAGTGAAATGTAATGAACCTACTAATTTTCAGGTTGGAAATCCAAGTTTTTTATTTATAATTATTATTATTATTGGTATTTATTTTCTTCAAATACTCATATTATTAACAATTTCAGTATACCCTTAACATTTTTAAATTTGGATCCACTCTTTAGTACAAAATGTTGCCAGACAGTTCCCCAATCCTGTACCCATTGTTGTCGTGGGGGGGTCATAGGAGAAGGGAGCTCAGGCCCAATGATGGGGATTGCTCCAGCCTAGAGCCTCAGCCCACAGCCAACTAAATTTGTATGGTCCCTTCTTCTCCGTTCTCCTTTTCCCCCTCAATTCCTTGCCTGTTGTTGTCGTGGGGGGGCTTAGGAGACGGGGACTAGAGCCGAATATAGGGGATCACCCCTGCCTTGGGCCTCAGCTCCCAGCTCAACTAATTTTGCATGGCCTTTTGTCTTCCATCTTTCCTTTTTTCCTTACCTTCCTTAACCCCTTCCTCTGTCCAATTCCTAAAATTTGAGAGCCGTGTTGAAAGGATGAAAGGCTGATTTTGTGGCAGTCATGAATGGCTTCAGGGAGCCATGGGCACAGTATTCCCTTGGTAGTTGTCTAGCGCTTACCCCTCATGGGGACCTTGAGGGTTGGACCGTTTATCATCCCCACTTCTTTCAGGCTTCCCAGGGCCAGTAATGAAGTTTTTGTACCCCTGCTAGGGGCATTGACCACTGATTCTACGACACCTACTATCAACATAACCCATTCTGAATCATCTACCCAGATAATTCAACCTCCAAATAACACCCCTCCTGATATTCCCCCTACCTCTTCCCACCTCATCCTCTCAACCACCCATACAACCCCCCCCAACCCCATCCTTCCCCACTATCCCTCCCACTCCCTCCTGGATACACGTATGAATCTCTTTTATCACAATACCCTTCCCCAGACCCCACCATCCTTATTGAACCCCCAGACGCTACTCCTTCACTAACTCCTGATCGTTTACCTCAACCCTCAGATACCTACTCCCCTACTACTAAGACAACCATATCTACTGCTATCACCCATTGATTAATCATGGCTTTTCTACAATGGAACATTCGAGGCCTCCATTCTCACAGGCTTAATCTCCGTCATCTCATATCTACCTACAACCCATCCATCATCTGTCTTCAATATACCTTCCTAACACATCCTCCAGTACTGATTCTAATTACCATTTTATATCATCCCCTCACTCTATTTGCTCACTCCTCAATACTAATTTATCAAAAAACTCCATGCACTAGACCTTCTTTCCAAACTACTATCTCTTATGCCATTATCTGCATCTTTCTTCAATGATGGATCACGGTTATTTCAGTATACTTTTCCCCTTCTCTTTCTATTGACTTTAATGCCTTTAAAAGTTTTCTTTCTCAGTTTCAACCACCTTTCATCATAACAGGCAATTTTCAACTGCTGTCACACTCTTTAGGGTGATACCACCACATCCTCCCGCGGTCGATCCCTAGAATTCTTCCTTTCCACGACTGACCTCATTATCCTAATTCTGATCACCTCACACATTTTGACTATTTAAACTATCATTGGTCAGTTCTAGACCACTGCCTCAATAACGACCTTACAACTGTGACCAATATTATATTTCTACCACCAGGGACTCGATCATCACTATATGTTGATGACGTCCATCTATGCCTCTGGTCCTTCCATACTTATTCTCCAACAACTCCTTCAGTCAGTAATATCATCAGCATCTTCCTGGGCCACTAATCATGGCTTTCGTTTCTCCACAACCAAATCCTTTTCTATCCTCTTCTCACACAAACGTGTAAAACCCCAACCTCCACTATTCTTATACTGCACTCCACTACAATACTGTCCTTCTGGAAAGTTCCTTGGAGTAATTTTCTACTCCAAACTGTCGTGGCAAGACCATATCCTTTCCATTAAAGAAAAAGCTTAACGCCATCTTTGAATCTTACAAACTCTGTCCCACATATCTTGGGGCTCAGACCATAAAACTCTCCTCTATCTTCATACAGCCTTGATCCTCTCAACTCTTGATTATGGATGCCATATATATTCATCTGTCTCTACCTCACTTCTTACTCATCTTGATACAATTCACCATTTTGTTCTCCACTTAGCCTTGTGGGCCTTCCACTCCTCCACAATTGAGAGTGTATGCTGACTCAAGCATACCATCTCTCTCACAATGCTTTGCCCTCCTCTCCAATGCTATGCATGGTTCCACCAACACTCCCTCATCAAATTAACTATTCCTCAATCTCTACTTCCTACCTGTACCTCATCTCCACTTTACCAACTCCTTTCACCTTCTGCATGAATACTCTCCTTTCCCATTCTCCAGTCTCTCCCCCTTCTCTGTCCTACATGGCTTATACTTACCCCCCCCACATTTGCTCCTCTGTGTTTCCTGACCCATCAAAGTCAGATATACATCCTGCTGTCCTTCTCACCCACTTTCTTAACCATGTTTCTACTCATTCCTTTACCTCCTGAGTAAAGTGTTCTTACTACTGAACTGTCTGCAATTCTTTTGCTTTAAAACCCATCTACTCTCTTTCCACCTCTTTCACTATTTTTACTGACTCTCGAAACTCTCCATCTCTCTTAAAGTCTGTACACTTAACCAACCCCCTTGTTTGCGAAATTCAGGACTGGTTATTTTACTTGTATACACGCTATAAATCTGTCAGGTTTTGCTTGGTGCCCAGCCATATCCCAGGCAATGAATGGGCAGATACCCAAGCATGCTCAGCCACAATGTCCAGACCACACTATCCCAGTCTCACATATCCCAGCCATGGATTATTACCCTTACTTTAAAAAAATTCTTTATGCACGATGGCAAGCCTTCTGGACAGGTCTTGTCACCAATAAATTACATACAATAAAACCAACAATCTTCTCCTGGTCAACTTCTTTTCATAAAAAGAGACGTTGGGAGACGGCTCTAGCCAGCTTGTGCATCGGCTCCCCCCTATCCCTTTGTCATTGTTGTCGTGGGGGGGCTTGGGAGAAGGAGACTGAGGCCAAAGGTAGGGGATCAGCCCTACCTTGGACCTCGGCCCTCGCCTTAACTAATTTTGTATGGTCTTCTCCCATGGTCCTCTTCTGCATCTCTCATCCGCTTCTTCTGTCTATTTCCTAAAGTATGAGAGCCGTGCTGAAAGGCTGGCTTTGTGTCAGTCATGAACGGCATCCTGGAGCCATGGGAACGGTATTCCCTTGGTTAATCGCCTAGCCCTTACCCCTTATGGGATAAGGGCTAGGTCTAAATGCTGTGTGGCAAGAATTCATGCCATATGCAGCTGTGTCTGTTCAAAGTTCTCCATACTAAATAGATGTTACTTGTTTGGCCTCTACTATAGTAATTAATATTAATTCTGCTCTAAGTTTCGAGCTAAATAGCACTTATTTTTTCTAAAATTTATAAATATTAAAAATTTCAAACCTTTTAGCCTGATTTCCTTAAAAAAAAAAAAGCCGCTACTAGTGAAGAAAAACAACCTCCGACTAGCGGCAATGGGCTGATGCAATGATGTTGGCAAACATGGACAAACGTGACACACAATGGTTAACTGACTTCACCATTGTGATGTGATCTAGACATTATCTGATTTGAGTGGGCTAATGAAGTGGCTAATAAATGGATTATTGTTACTGTACCATTTAATTTATCAACATAATCAATATTGTTTCCAAAACTGTCCAAAATATTATAGAATACAAATAATATACTACATTAAATATTTATTTTTATTATACCATTTGACAGTTAATAGATCATTAATTATGACTCAGAAAAACTGTATGCCAGCCTCAACAATTTTTTGGTCATTCTTCCTGATAGTAAAAAAAAAAAAAATAGAAAGGAGTGAAATAAATGCAGACATACAAAAGAATATTTATTCATATATATCTGACAAGTTGTACATTCTTTCTCTGCTTAAATCTGATTTTAAAGAAAACCATTAGCACACAAGAAAAAAGAAAAAAAAAAACTTGTCTGTTCATCAAAAGCATTTCTGGATTTGCCACAACACTAAACCTTTTCTCTTGGAAGCTCAAAATCTTGTGAAGATAGGGGATAAATATCACTTTCAGTCAACCTAGTCTACCTGGGCGGTATATTCGAAAATTAGGTGCAAGTTGTGAGGGTTACTTACATTTTGTTGATTGACAAATAAAAAAAAAAATACAGCCATTGGGGTTACTTTTACTTCCTTTTCCCCCTCATATTATGACACGGTTTCAAGTAACACCTCTTGATAAATGTATGTAAATTTAATAAATAATAATTAAAAAAAGTAAATAAATAAAACTGTTGGATTTAATAAAGTTGAATACTGTTGCTTGGTATAAAAACATATCCACATGGTTGGCATACCCAATGGGTAGGAATAGCAAAGCCAATCATCAGATGCCTTTGGTAAACAAACCAGCAGAGTACCCATGCCTTTTAGTAGAGCAAAATCATCAGACATTGCCCTACTGCAATTATCCACCTACTGGAAATACTGGATGCCAGTCATGTTGGACCACTCAGACTTGTTCTTGTGGACATGTCACAGGTATACCCAACAGAATTTGTCTGATGATGGCATTGCCCAATCATGTGGAAACATCTTATATTATTTTAAAGAATGTGTGGGCTGTAATATGGTAAAGAAATAAACTTTTTAATGTTAAATGCCAAATTTTGTTTCCAGTGTGTTCTAAAAAGATATTTAAATTTGTAAAATATACTACTGAATATTGTAATCCTTATGAAACCCTTTAGTGAATATCAATTAATCACAGTGTAAAGATGTACCTAACTTCAAATGTATGGATTTACTAGTATATCACACAAAACTTGAAGTTGGAATCACTGCAACCATTATAAATCATGCAAGATCAAATATATAAATAATGCATGATCTGAACACCATTTGTACAATCAACTATGAAGAAACATACAATATATAGTACACAAGTATAGAAGGAATATGTGACTTTAGTCACTGATCTAATGTATTCAGTTCTTGTAGTAAATCACGCATTTTACAGAAATAATTACTTATTTTTATGACAGCAACCACACTAATTTTATACTGGACACACTTAAAAAATAATGTAAATATGCATTTGGCAGCTTCCCACTTCATACAAAACTACTGAAAATATCCTTACTTGGAATGATGGCTGTATTTTATTACTCAAAATATACTTCATTAATTGTAACTTAAACCAAACTATCAAATCCCTAATGGCTCTAGAAGTATCACTGCCTTGACTACTTGCAAATGGCCTGGAAGATGCAAGTGTCATAATCAAGAGCAACACAGAAAGCCTGTTATCATCCATCAGCTTGCATTACAACAACTGCAGAGGCAAATTTATCCACAGAAAAGCTATGTACACTGAACACGCATAACCACAATAATGGACATACATTTTCCTTTTTCTAATTAAATGGATAATTGGACTCACATTCCTGAAACATTCACTTGAAGACACATGAAAGAAATTATGAACAACTGATGGGATGCAACACTATTCCATGACAGATACAAAAATTTATTTTTTACAGACACATACCACTGAGAAGAGTTAAAAGAAAGATTAAGTGAGGAGAGAAACAGAAATAGGAAAGGGAATATTTTGACACAGGCAAGCACAGCATTTGTTTGCAATCTTGCCTAAAAAATAATAATAATAGAAAAATTACATTAAAAATTCAGTTCACTCACACGGAATATGAATACCTCGGTTAATATATGTATACAATATTTCATGTGTAATTAACCTAGATAGCAGATATAGGCACAACATCAACCTCTCATTGCATATCTAATATGCAGCATTAAAGTATGTATGTGATCCTTTCACACAAAATTAGACATTTTTAAAAAATTATAGAAAAGACAGTGACCAGATCATTACGCTGTCATTCTTAGAAAATCATACTTAAAACACATGATTTTCCAGCATGGGAATATTATGAGTAGTGAACTGCTTTACTATTCCAAACACTGCAACCTTTAGAAAAGATTGAATAAGAATCAAGTAATTATAATTTCCACCAGACTAGTCTTTCTTATTTATTCACCAGATTAAATGAGCACCATAAAACATTTTATTATCATGTATTAAATCTAAGGCTACATAGACAATTATGATGTAACTGCAAGGTGAACTGTGGTAAGAGTTGATTGACATTGCAGCTTGAGATCTAATATCGCTTTAATTACATTTTTTTAACGTTCATAGGCTTTCCTACTGGAACTCTTCTCTTTTACTATATTTAAAAATCATTTTAAGAACACTGTATTTCAGGGATTGGAAGTCTAAAAGATTTGTGTATATATAAAAATTTTAAAATTACTTTATTGAAACATTCCTAACAGATTAAAAAATTGAAATAAACTTTTTGTACATAATGTTCTGAAAATGAAGAGTTTTCTCTGTTGAAGGAAGCTCATCTTGTAAGATGCAGTGCCTGGATCTTCAATTATATATTGTATTATCAAGTGAAGAATAACAATCTTCACATCCTGCAACTAAGGAAACACCAATTACTTTCTGTCACAACCATATTCATACTATTTATGATTTACTGTTACTGTCATCTTTCAGTTGTGGAGTAACCTTGAACAATCTTTTATATATGCATGTTCTTAAAGCAATATACTACTCAATAACCAGCAACATGAAGAAAAGTTTTTTTTAAATAATAAACTATTTTCTTCATTTTTAAAAATAAACATATATGAAAGGAAGGAAAATGTACAAACTTCATCCTGTCGCATTCCAATAATCTGCCTCTCAATACATACTTAGACTACAAGTAACACTTCATGCTATTCCTCGAACAAGTAATAAATAAATACATACATACATACATGCATACATAAACATATGCATAATTATATATATTTATATATCACTTATATGTATATTATATATATATATATATGTATATAATACATAATATATATATGCATTATCAAATCATTTCTATATGTGAAATGTATCCAGACACCAGGACAGTTTGACAAAAAGGTCAACCTCACATGCCAGAACTAAATCCAAGTTGAACTCATCCCAAACTCCAGACACAAAAACAAACCGAAGACCATCACACCCACACTGCGATCACTTTCAAACTGGCTTCAGCACCCTCCGTCCCTCACCTATAACAGCACCATGCAACCACAACACTCAAACACTACAGAATTAATACATGTGATTTTACATCCAAAGCAACTAATTGTATATGCTGAGATGCACCTGTTCACACTCATATTGGAAAATAAAGAAAATAATTCACTAGTTATCTACATCTATCCCTCTAAGAGGAGGAAATATACAAGAAAATACATAAACCAATCTATATATTAATACTATGTTGTGGTCGTATTTTTTTTTTTTTACAGAAGTTGCAGCACTATACATAGCTATTTACTAAGCTCATTCACTACATCTTGAAAGTAAAATTTCTACACAGACATTCAACATTTGGTCCTCCCTCTACATGAAGGAATGAGCTAGTTACTGCATTACACAGTACATACAGGTATGTTCTCCAGCTTCAAAGCAGGTCAAAGACAGTTAAGAATATAGAAACATTCATTAGTGTCTCCTACATACACATTTTTTGTAAGTCTTTTTTTAATGTATTCTTTTTTAACAGTGGATATGGAGATTACATAAGATGCACTTTAACAAGGTATAGAACATCATTTACAACTTTGGTTTGCACAACAAACACGTTCTTAAATCTGATTCACTGTAATTTGTAGATTTACATGAAATATTTAACACGTATTCCAACTTCTGGAAGACCTTAACAACTTGAAATAAGGTATCATAAAAGACTTTAATTTTTATCAATATGCAAAATTCTCCATACAGTATTATTTGATACTTGTTAAATTTTAAGGGCTTAATTTTATGATACCTCTAATACTTGTCTAAATAAACAAGGAAATCTTTAAGAGCTAAATGCCATTTTCAAAATATTTCTAAATATATGAAAAATGATCTGTAAGTCACTGCTATTAAAGAACCGAAAAAAGGTTCTACAACCTACTTTCAAAAAAGTGGCTGAAGCTTCTCATTTTTTCCAAGTCTGAGGCTCTGTATATATCGGGTGATGGTGGCTTATTGGGCATTAATAAGGCGGTCACTACTAACTATGTCTAGAGCATTAAAGTGTGCACAGCCAGCTGCTTCATTACACAGAAGTTCAATGTCACTTGCAGTTGAACGCCACTTCACGTACGGCATTAATGCATCTACGAGATATCTCACAGTGTCGATGATTAGTCTAGTCATCACATTAGGCGGAGCTTAGCATCCTTCAGCAAAGTATCTCCATCCATGCTGGTTTTGCTTATTCATTAATCTTCATGTTCCTCAGATTCACAGAATCACTCGAATCCCTCTCTCTCTCACGCCACATCACGACCAAATCGTACATCACAGCATATTTTGGTTCCAGAACCACCAAGGCAAATTGTTATCTTTGGCTGATGTTTTTCTCCTTTGGCTTCCCTTGATCCTTTCCTTTGTCCTTTGCTTCCATGCGCAGAGGTTTTAAGTCAGGGGGTTTGAATTTTCTGTGGGGAAAAATAGAATAAATAAATAAAATAAATGATTATAGCAACAAGAACAACACCATCCTAAATACTAATATCCAGTAAATAGATCATGCACCTAATTCTATAATTTCTGTTATGATTTAATAATGTCTCAGTTACCAATAACAAAACCCTTTGCAAAGAACCTACAATATAGATATATTACAGCCCACTTAAACATGAAATAAATTTCATGAAAAATTAAACAAAAATTTAAACTAATTCAAAAATAAATATGGAACACTGAGTGTGCTTTTACTCTACCACAAAACAGCTGCCATAACTTACGAATACTGGGAGAAAGGCACGCCAATAATCAACAGGGGGTTGGATTTCATATTAAGCCTCCACATGCCATGGTGATATCCCCTGCTGTCGAGGTCCCAAATTCGAAGACACTGAAAGCAAACCAGTTATGAAGGCTGTGCATGTTTTTATTATTATCATTATTACTTTTATTGAGTTGATCTTGTGTAGTATAAGAAATAAGAGGTATAGAAAAGATTACCAAAATAGACTTTGGGTGGTCTGCATTGTACAGATAGAATACTTTGGGAAAATGCTTCAAAGTTATAAATAGGATTCACAAGGACTTTTTCATGTTGACCTTGTAAATCTCCATCATTGAATTAGAAAAACAGACTTTGGCTAAGAGGCACAACAAATCTCTGCTACCAAAAAGAAAGAAAAAAAAAGATAATTGATGTTTAGAATGATGAAAAAAAGATGACTGATGATTGATGATAATTAGTGATGATTGACGATGATTAGTGATGATTAATGATGATAGTGGTGGTAGTGGGGAAGATGAAGACGACGATGAAAACGACAACCAAAAGAAATGACCATAAAAAAACACACACACAAAACCCGTCACTCATCCACCGACACTCACCTTGGCGACCTGCAACCAAGTGGAATAATCTTTGTGGTGTTCCATGTGGATGAACAGCAGGTAGGTGTGGCCTGTGGTGTCTGGAATGAAGGTATCCTCGCAAGGACTCCGGGAATGATCTAGGACCGTCCCCCTGCGCAACATCCCTGTGATCAGTTCTTCGTAGGCATCCTTCTTCAAGCTGTGGGGTTCAGGAGGAAAATTACTCTCAGTAACGAACGAGAACATTAGTAATACTATTGCCTTTGGTGTATGTGAAGAAATACTAATTATCATCTCAGAAAGGATTTTATATTAAAAAAAATCATGAAATCAAATCTTGAATGATATACAACAACATGAACACAAAAACAAAAACAAAAAATCATCAAACAAGCCCCTCCCGGAGGCCCAAAGACCCGCCAGCGCAAACAAGCGAACTACCCACGTGTCGAGATCGCGCAGTTCGACGTAGGGCAGAGTGTTGAACGAGTGCTTCTTGAAGTACGTGTCTTGGAAGTACGAGTTCATGTTGAGGCCCGAGGAGCCGAAGTGGTAGGTCCGAGACACGTCCGGGACGATGCACTCGCGGCCACGGCGGACCTCTCCGAGACGCATCCACATGTCCCAGTCCCACATCTGAAACGAGTGGGTATGTGGGTGTTTTCATCGTCGATGGGAGGGTATTTATTAGTCTATTTGATGTGTTTGTCTGTTTATCTAGTGACCTGCTTTCTCACCCCGAGAGGATAGTCTCTGTATGCCGGACTATCCATAATATCGACTTCATTGTTAAAACACAGGCATTTATAAATATGATTTGTAAATAACAACCAACAATGAAAATAGTAAAACTCTTATATCTTTTAAACCAACCATAGAATATAAAAAAATAATCACACTTTAAAAATAACATGAGAACTAATATCCATAAAACACAGCATCCCCAACATATCTGAATGCAAAGCGCCCCCACCCGTCACCCACCAGGAGCAGCGCAGCCAGCCAGTCACCTTCTCCGGCGTCGGCCACTTCGACTCCAGCTCGTCCTTGTAGAGCGACCTCTTGAGAATCCAGCCGAGGCCGGGCATGGTCTCCACCCGGTACAGGAGCGCCGGGTCGCTGCTGGTGTGCTCGTAGCCTTGGTCGTTCCAGGCGCTGATGCAGTACACTGTGGGGTCCTCCTCTAGGAGTCTTAGGGTCTGGCTGAAGTAACTGTTATCGGAAAGAGAGAAAATAGATAATTATGAAACTCATTGAAAATATCTATAAACTCTCCTATTTTTTTACGGTCTGACTGAAGTCTGTTATCAGAGAGAAAATAATTATGAAACTCATTGAAATAATCTATAAACTCTTCTAAAAAGTTTTAAGGTCTGACTGAAGTAAGAAGAGAAGAGAAAAGAAATAATTATGAAACTCATTAGAATAGTCTATAAGCTCTCTTATTTTTTTTACGGCCTGACGGAAGTAACTTATAAGAAAGAAAGAGAATAAATAATCAATTCATAAAAAACAACAATTTATAAAAGCTTCTGAAAAAAAGTGTTAGGGTTTGACTGACGTGACTGTTCTTGGACAGAGAGAAAGTAATAACAAAATAACTAAATAAAAAATAAAACTTTCCTAAAAACAATCCTAAAATCCTCAATAAGAGAATTCTTTCCCCCGGCTTTCCCCAACCCCTTACCTGAAGAAGTCCGGAGAGACGTCGAGGTCCTCCTCAAGGATGATGGCATAGCGCGCCGCCGGGAAGATGTTGAAGGTGGCGGTGAGGGAGGCCTTGTAGTGCTGGGTGATGCGGGCGTTCCGTACCTGGGGGAGGGGGGGGGTCATTAGATTCACGGGGGGATAAATGTAATGGGGGTGGGGGTGGGTCATTAGATTCACGACAGACGATAAAATGTAACGTTTGATTGCGTTTTATGATGAGTGTATTTTTTTTTTTTTTTTAAGTTAGGTCAATGTAATGGTTTTTGTTATATAGAGAATGAGTTTTGAAGTCAGTGAGAGGTGATGATGCATAGATTTTAAGAATAGTTCATTTTTTAAAAATCAATTTGATGTAAATGCGCTCGTGTCCTATTGAGAATATACGTTTTAGGTCCTCCTATGTATCTAATAAATTTTGAGTCCAATTTGAGGGCCCTGTCGACTTGAAGAGATGAAAGAACAGCCAGCGCAAAAAAGTATCGTGTAAACAAATGCAAGAAATGTAAATATGCAATATTCTGTAGCTCCATAAATTGCATTCCAAACATCGTGTTTACATCTTAAACACATGTTCGAACTCCTACACTGTGGCTACGCAAACGGTACTCTGTAGGACTGGATTCGCGCCAAAAATCCAACAATCCTTCCGACTTGAAAAGAAAGAAAGAAAAGAAGAAAAAAGAGAGAGAGAGAGAGAGAGAGAGAAGAGAGAGAGAGAGAGAAGAGAGAGAGAGAGAGAGAGAGAGAGAGAGAGAGAGAGAGAGAGAGAGAGAGAGAGAGAAGAGAAAGAAAAGAAACGCGCCACAGATTCGATGGATTTATTTATCTGTACATTAGTGATGCCTAAAAGTACTTTGCATGTACTGGTATCCTACTATCCTTTCCCGCGAATATCTGCTGTGTCCGGATAGCTTACCGATAAAGCAGACGCAGCTTCTGACCTTCTTACGGTTGTTAATTAATTGATCTACTAGATTAGTTTTCTTAATATTTGCCTTTTGTGTTTATTCTAGGCAGGGCACATTTCATTTAAGTTATTAAAAGGCAATTATCAATTTCTGCAATAAAATTCTCATCCTGTGTTTTTAGTTCTTTATTAAAATCCTATTCAGCTCCTTACAGGCATTCAGAATGTTAGAAGTGGGCCACGGTCTCAAAATAGTTGTAATAATACTGCACGACCAATACACTATTACAGAGAGCCATTCTGTAGCAGGTTATTGCATAGCACACTGTGACCAATAAACACCGGAAAATGAAAGACTCGCGGAGAACAAGCCATCAGAAACAAACAGGCATTATGATATTCCGAGAAATAACCAATTTATTGTCGTGGTGACGCTAACTTTCCTAACTCTCCTGACCTCACAAAAGGAAAAAAATAATCATCTTTTCCTCGCCAAGCTGGATGCCACTTCAGTCTCGCGGCCACGAGCGTATAATAATCACAAAGGACAAGAACTTTGATGGAGTTATATTGCCTTTGATGTAGGTAAAAGGCGCGTCCACAGGTCTCACAGGCAACCACTAACGACCTATTTCGCCGAGGATGGTTGTTAGGCAACGAAATCCGGCGAAATGTAAACCCTTAGCCAAATACTGTACAGTCGCGGTCAAAACTCCTGTAAAACTTATTTCGAATTCCGTTTCGAAAAATCTCTTCATACCACACTTTTTGCACATGGTAATAGAGATTCGAAGCTTCAATTCATAAAATTACTTTTGTCTGTCACTGTACATACGCCACATGTTTGGTCACATAATGTGCTTTCGATCATCCAAGAAACTAAAATATGAACAGCGCTCATTTGCATATTGGGGCGTGTAGAAGTAAACATTTAATTCAAAACGATCTTGAAAATATTAGTAAACACGTTAATAAACAAGTAAAAAGACAACAAATCAACCAAACAAACAAACCACCCACTCACCCAACCAAACAATACATTTAAAAAATCAACCACACACCCAACAATAAATAAATAAATAAACAAATAAATAAAATAAAAAATAAACCAATCAATCAACAAACAATCCCGCCAAGCAAACAAACCAACCAACCAGACAAACACACACACCCACACACCACCCCTCCATCTCACCCCAAGTGGCGTGTGCTGGATCCCCCTCAGTCCGAAGAGCTTGGTCACGGCGAGAGGTTCTTCGTAATAACCGTCGATAAAAACGGTTATCATGTCGGGGTTCACTCCAGGGGCCGCCAACAGTGAGCGGAGGGATCTGTGAGGGGAAAAAAGACAAGAAAAAAAGGGGAAAAATATAAATATGTAACCATTTTATAATTTTGTTGATGGCGTTCCCCAAATCCCTCTATAATCAGTCTGTGAATTTTTATATACTTGCATTGCGGACATCGCCAAATCGTTCCGTAATTTAGTAACTTTGCAAAATACACTCTTTAAAAAGGACGATTGTATCTTTGTGAAGGTTGCAATACTGATGCATTTAATGTGGTATCGGTGCAAAGGGAGAGCTACGGTTGCGATTAATAATGCTCTGCCCACACACGTATACACTCACCTTTCTCTCTCTCTCTCTCTCTCTCTCACCCAATCTCTCTCCCTCCGCTCAAAATCTCTTCTCCTTTCTCTCACCCAATCTCTCTTTCGTCTCTCTCTCTCGCTCTCTCTTCTCTCTATCGCTCTCTCGCCTATATCTACTCTAAACTCTCTCATCTCTCATCTCTCTGCTCGTCTCTCAATCGCTCTCTCTCACTCTCTTCTCTCTCTCTCTCTCTCTCTCATCTCTCTCCTCTTCTCTCTCTCGACTTCACGTCACTCATCTCATCTCATCTCTCTCCAACACGACCCACAGTCACGCTCGCCCTAACTACGCACCAACGATCCCCACACATACACCTTCAGCCAGACTCCCTACCTGTACAGATAGTGTGGACGGTTGCTGGCGATGATGGCGACGGGGACATCGTGCACCTGGTTGTTGAGGAGCTGTCGGGAGAAGGGGCGTGGTTAGGACCTGATTTTGCACGGGGTTTCATGGCAAAGGTGAATGGAAAAAAATTGATGGATTCAGAAGATGGAAATAGACGTATCAGGCAAAGGTGAAAGGGAAAATGTCCTGGTGGTGGATTTAGAAGATGTAAATAGATTTATCAGACAAAGATGATTGGAGAAATGTCTTGGTGGTAGATTTAGATGTAAATAGACGTATCATGCAGAGGTATTGGTGGTAAATAGTAATAGTAACCATGGTGGTAATGACAACAACTTCAATGATGTCAACAATGATAGCTATGCCAAGTTAATAAAAAAAATAACAATAACAACAATGGTGATGATAACAAACACCAACCAAACCCATCAATAATCATAACAAAGCATTTAAACACCAACGATCATAACAAAACAATCACACCAGCAATAAAATCCAAAACAACCCGACAGTGATCCCGGCGGCACTCACGGGCTCGGTGGTGAAGGCGAGGGGCGGGGTCGCTTGCAGGAGCACACGGAGCCGTAGCCTCGATGTGGCTGCAGAATTCCTCCGGCGGCGGTGCTCCTCCGTGTCCGGCCACCCGCAGTCGCTTCTGGGGGGGGGGGGGGGGGGGAGTGATTAGAGCGGGGATAAAGCTTTAAAAGATGATGTGTCGTTTTCTGGTTATGGTCTGTTCTTTGGTACACTTCTCTTCTTTTTAAATTACTCCTTCTTTCCTTCCTCCTTCCTCCTTCTCTCCCTTTTCTTCCCTTACTCCTATCTCCTTCCCTCTCTTCCTTCCTTATTCTTTTTTCTTTCCCTTCTCCATACTCTCCTTCCTTTCTTTCCCTTTTCCCTCCTTGCTCCTCCCCTCCCTCCTTCCTCCTCCCTCTCCTGCTTCCTCCTTCCTCCTCCCTTCCCCTTCCCCTCCTCCCCTCCTCCCTCCTCTCTTCTCCTGACTCTCTCACTTCGAAGGGCACGAGGGGCACCTCCGCCCTCAACATGAGGCCGAGCCCCACGTGTTTGAAGTCGGGGCTGTGGGCGAGCTGCTCCCCGTACACCGCGCCCTTCACGCCACCATCGCCCACATGTCCCGCACCGAGCTCGTGGGCGTGCGTGCTGCCCAGGCGTCGCAGCGCGTCCCGCCCGCCGTTCTTCATCTGGAACGTCCCCTCATCCTGCCGGGAAAAAAGAGATGCAAAACGCGTCAAAATGCAGTCGAAAAAATACCGAACGACACAGTACAGCAGCTAAACAAGATAAAAAAAAAAAAAAAAAAAAAAAAAAAAAAAAAAAAAAAAATATATATATATATATAATATTATATTATATATTATATATTAAAAAATACAAACTATCCAAAATCAACCAAAACAAAATAAAACAAAATAAAATATCAAACAAACACAAAAACACTCGACAGATAGACAAAAAAATCCAAACAACAAACACACCAAACTCGACAGAAAAGCCCTCCCCTCCCCCCACCACCAAAAAAAAAAAGAAAAAAAATATCCAAAGAACACACAGCTATTCGTTAGCAACCCAACAGAGCAATTTCAGCGAAGCAGTGCGGTATTGACCTCGTTACGAAGAGGAGATATATAGCCAATAATCATTGACGTGGTTGAGGCCTCCGGGAAAGGGGGGGGGGGAGGGGGAGGAGGGGAGGGAGGGAGGGAGGGAGGGGGGGGGAGTGGGAGGGAGTGGGAGAGGGAAGGGGAGGGGGAGGAAGAGAGGGAGGAGAGAGGGAGGGAGAAGGGAGAGGGAGATGGAGAGAGAGGGGGGGAGGGAGAGGAGAGGGAGAGGAGGAGAGGGGGGGGAGGGAGAGGAGAGGGAGATGGATGAGAGAGGGGGAGGGAGAGAGAGGAGAGAGAGAGAAGAGAGAGAGAGAGAGAGAGAGGGAGAGAGAGAGAGAGAGAGAGAGAGAGAGGAGAGAGAGAGAGAGAGAGAAGGGAGAGAGGGAGAGAGGGAGAGAGGGAGAGAGGGAGAGAGGGGAGAGAGAGAGAGATAGTGATAGAGATACAAAGAGATAGATAGATACATAGAGAGAGAGAGAGAGAGAGAGAGAGAGAGAGAGAGAGAGAGAGGAGAGAGAGAGAGAGAGAGAGAGAGAGAGAGAGAGAGAGAGAGACAGAGATAGAAAGACAGAGATACAGAGATAGACAGAAAAAGACAGAGAGAGAAACAGAAACAGAAAGAACGACCGAGCCCCCCTCAACCCCTACCATCCCTACCCAACCCCATCCCCAATCCCAACCCCATCCCCCCAACCCGACCAGCCATCACGCCCGTCCGCATCGCCCAGCGCCTATTCCCCCCGAGCGACTTTTGCCCCCTCCCCCTCCCCCCGCAGTAGCTAATGGCACCCGTAAACCCCTAATGTGTGTATTGGCTGGGCGGTCGGGGGGTCGTCCTTTGTCATGGCTCTCTGTGGAGTCCCGACGGCGAGATTCAATTGCCGGGCTTCGGGAGAGGGCCCCGGGCGGCCGGCGTCGATGGCGCTGCATATTGCACAGCGGGCGGCGACTCTCTTCTGGCGTATAATAACGGGGCGGTTGCAGTTTTTGTTTGTTTGTTGTTTCTGTTCTGTGTCTGTCTGTCTGTCTGTGTCTGTGTGTGTCTGTCTGTCTGTCTGTCTGTCTGTCTGTCTGTCTCTCTCTCTCTATGGTGTCTGATTATCTTTACTGGTCTCCCTCCTGGTTCTAACTCTAACTCAGCCTCGGTCACTCCACTGTGCACACAGACACAGACATAGAAAAAGACGCAAATTACAGACAGACACACATACAGACCCAAGACACATAAAAAGACACACATCACAGACAGACGCGTACAGATTAGAAAAAGACAAACATACAATAAAGCCATACATACAGAAACACAACAATCAAGACGCTGGCAAAAGCTGACGACCCATCCATTGCGCTACTTGCAAAAGAAGTAGCTGAGCTGATCGTAATACTGTTTCGATAAGATTATATATTGATTCCGTTTATGTGTAAAGTGCTTATATTATTGATAATGTCACAATTCCATACACAGTACATGTACATTGTAACACATCGTTCGTTAACAGTTACATGAAGTAGATAAAGAATAGGATAATGACACACACAACAAATAGGCTGACAGTAATTTAGGCACAACATTAATGGCAGATACTTGACACACAGGCTGAAAATATAGTATGCGACGTGTGTTATGGATAAACTGGATAACTATTGTTATTCAACGAGATGGTGACCCGTTGTCACACACTACATTCGTTATAACGAGTACGGATGTAGTCTGTACTTGAGTAGTTTAGAGTTCATATGTTACAGGTATCTATTTTGACCGAAGGTTTATTTTTTTGAGTTATTGGGTTTAGTGCACACAGTTCGAGATTTAGATATCACATGCCTCAGTGTCGGCGAAGACATGTGTCATCACTGGTGTTCGTAACATTGAAACGGAGAGAAACGAGCGGAGGGCGGAAGGGGGAGAGGGAAAGGGAGATAGAGAGGAAGGGAGGGAGATACGGACGGGGAGAGGGAGAGGGAGAAAGAGGAAAGGGAGAGAAGGGGAGAGAAGAGGGAAAGGAGGGGATGACAAAGGAAAAGAAGACCAGACAACAGAGAGAGAGAGAGAGAGACAGACAGAGAGGGGGGCCATCCCTCCTAACAACCCTGATGCCCTCCAACATGGACAAGCCCGCCACACGCAAACCCCCCAAACCCCCAAACCACCCACCTTGATGGCCAGCACGAGGATCCTGCCGGGGGACACCATGTTAAGGAACAACGTCATGGCCTCGTCCTCGTGGGGGGAGTACGTGTCGAAAATCCGCTGGGCCATCACGGCGCCGCTGGCCTGGTGCAGCACCAGCACGTGGATGCCCCGCCCCTTCCGCTCCTCGCTGTCCTCCACGATCTGGGGAGAAGGGGGAAGGGTGATGAGGACGGAGGTTAGATGAAGAAGAGAAAATGTAATTATCCAAAGTAGATGAATAATAGTAATAATAATGAAAATAATATCAACAAAAGTAATAGTAATTATAATGATTATGATAAAATGATGACAACAATATAATAAGGATAATGAAATAATAATGATGCATAATAATAATAACGACGATGATAAAAAAGAAAAATAATAATTATTAAAATGAAATAATAATAATAATGATAATGAAATAATGATAATGGTAATAATTAATAACGACATGATAATATAAATGATAATAATAATATAGTGATGATGATTGATAATGAAAAATCTTGCTAAACAATAATGATAGTGCTATTGATAACGTAATGTAATAATAACAGTAAAAGTAACAACCTCCACCACCATCAAAAACAACAGCAATAACAATATAATGATAATAATAATAATAATAATAATGATAAACAATGATAACAATAATAATGAATGACAATGACGATGAAAATGTATGAAAAATACTTTTTAAAAATATCAAATAAAAGCCTAAGAAAAAAACTCAAGGCAAACAAGGTAAAATAATAACAATAATACAAAATAATTACCCCCTTAATGAACCTGATGATTTATTAAAAGTAATAACCCCCCCCCCCTTTCCCTCAAGGTATAAGTTATTCGACAACCTGTCTATTATGCAAAAAAAATGAAGTTTCATCATTCATTGTACTTTTTTTTTGGCTTCCTTTCGTCAAAATTAACAGGACGATATCCATGTTGCAGATGAAAAGAGAGAGAAGAGAGAGAGAAAGAGGAGAGAGAGAGAAGAGAGAGAGAGACGAGAGAGAGAGAGAGAGAGGAGAGAGAGAGAGAGAGAGAGAGAAGAGAGAGAGAGAGAGAGAGAGAAGAGAGAGAGGAGAGAGAGAGACGAGAGAGAGAGAGAGAGAGAGGAGAGGAGATGAAGAATAGAGAGATAGAGGATAGATAGATAGAGAGAGGGGAGGGGGGGGGGGAACAGAAATGCGAGACAAGAGAAAGATAAAAGCCATTGAGAAAGACCAGAGACAAAGGGATAAAATACAGAGAAACAAAGAGACATAGGAGAGATTAAGAGAAAGACAAACCCAAAGACAAAAGACAAAAAAACAGAGAAAGACACCCCCACTCCCACCCCCAACCACCCCACCACCCCCACCCCCACACACACAAACCACCCACCCCACCCACCTCCCACCCCCGACCCACACATCCCAACCCACCCACCCATCCCACCCACCACTCGCGGAACGTTTTCCAAATCTTTCCGACTCAATCAACGAGTCCGCCGCTGCAACAGTCATGAAACCCTGCAAAGCCACGGAAAACAACGATCCTTCATCAAACGCTGCTTTGCTAATAACAATAACGGCCCGAAAAGCGAGCGCAGGAACGCCGCCCCGCCATCTCTCTCTTCTCTTCTCTTTCTCTTCCTCTCTCTTCCTCTTCTCTCTCTCTCTCTCATCTTCTCTCTCTCTCTCTCTCTCTCGTCTCTCTCTCTTCTCCTCCTCTCTCTCTCTCGTCTTCTTCTCATCTCTCCCTCCCTCCCCCCCGCCGAATGTGTGGTTGCTTGCGAAGGCCCATGCAAGGCCAAAGGAAGAAAATAAAAAAATAAAGAAAAATGAATCCTCTAAACGAAAGGGAATAAGGCCAGACAAAGCAGACAGGACAGGAAAAGAAAATAGACAAGACTATCATATAGAAAAGGAGCACAGACAACAGAAAGGAAAAAGAAAGGAAAGGCAGGGCATTAGAAAGACAGACAGAAAGACAGATTGACGATAAGCAGGCGGTCGGTAGTTGCGCTAAACCACTTACACATGATTAATTTATAGAGAGACAAGAGATAGATTGGTTGGTAGGCCCAGCTGGTATACCACAGGTGGATAGACAAGTAAGAGATAGGACAAGACAGACAGACAGACAGGTGAAAAGAATGAGATACCTTTAATCAAGGTATCATCAGCCACATCACAGAAATAGAAGAGAGTGATTTTAAAAATCAAATAGAAATGGAAGGAGAAGGGGCTAAAAGGGAGAGGGGGAAGGGGAATGGAGAGAGAGGGAGAGAGAAGGAGGAGAGGGAGGGCAGGGAGGGAGGAGATTTGTTGAGAGAGATGAGACGGATAGAGAGGAGAGAGAGAGAGGAGAAGAGAGAGAGAGAGAGAGATGATGGAGTGGATGGAGTAGATGAGAGGATGATGAGAGAGAGGAGAGAGAGGAGAGAGAGAGAATTTAAGAGAGAGAATTAAGAGAGAATTAAGAGAGAGATTTAGATGAGATAAAAAAAAAAAAAAGCAGAAACAAAAACTATAACCAACAAAGAAGGGAATAGTGTCGAACATACAGACCAAACAAACACAGACAGAAAGAAAACAACATTTATGGCCTCTCAAATATCCGCTCTTTCTATGGGCCAAAAAATTTGATATGTATGCAAAAAGACACTTTTTTACGTTTAAAAGATGATATTAGACCCTTTTCTTCCCTCTCTCGAAATCCATATCAAATTTCTGAGACTGACATCCAAACGTTTAAATACGATCCAAGACGTCTATCACCAAACGTTCTTTTTATCCCTAAAAACGTTTCCCTTTTTCATATTCACCAGCCTACTGGATGACATTCCCCCCCCCCGCTGACCTTGTGCTATGTCTAAAATCTTTGCTCGGTACAAAATGTATGTAAAAATAATCAAATGATATTTCTAAAACCTCAACATGGTGCAAAATGTGTGCAAGGCATAAAAATCCGTCAAGATTACTATTTTCAAACTTTAATTCGGTAGAAAAATTATATAAAAAAACAATCATAATACATATTCAAAAGCTTTTCATCCGCGTATCTAAAGTTATACAAAAAAACACACCAGGTACCACATATGACTTCGGTAAATATAAATAAAAAAATATTGGGTAAACAAAGGAAAGAAAAAAGAAATGAATAATAAAAGATAATAATATGAAAAAGAAGAAAGATATGTAAGAAGGAAAGGAAAATAAATAAGAAGCAGGAAAAATAAACAGGAGCGTGCGCGTGTGGGGGTATCAACACGATTTCAGAAAAAGCAAGGTGTGATGTGTGCCCGAATGAACTGCTCCCCGGATAAAAGGATTTTTTAGAGCGTCTAGAAGAGCAAAAGGAACTGTGAAAAATCTGAAGCAAATGTTATTCTTTGTGGGTGTCCCGTCACGGTGAGGTGGTCCCATCCTTCGGCGCTGCGGACGAGGAAGCACAGAGAAGAAGCACGGGGCGAAGGAAGCATACGAAATGCGAGAAAGGAAAGCCATAGAGAGGAGGAAGCCGTTTTAAGAAGAAGGAGAAGCATAGAGAGAACGAGGAAAGCATAGAGAGGGGGAGCGGAAGCATGAAAGGAGGAGGAAGCATAAAGAGGAGGAAAGCATAGAAGAGGAAGCACGGGCAGGCAAGCAGTAGAGAGGGAGGGAAGCACGGGCAGAGCGAGGATAAGCGCCAGAGAAGGAAGCACGGAGAAGCCAAGGAGAAACGAAAGGGAAGTCCAAAGAAGGGAGAGAGAAGCGGAAGAGAGAGGAGAAACTCAGAAAAAGAGAAAGTATTACAGAGAGAAGAATCAGGTAGAAAATAAGGGGAACAAGAGAAGGGAAACACAAAGGAAGCAAGGAAGAAACGGATGGGGGAGGGAAGGAGACGAGGAGAAGGAAACAGAGAAAAGAAAGAGCCACAGAGAAGAGGTAGGAGCGTTTAAAAATCAGAAAGGTAAGAGAGAGAGAAAAGCAAAAGGAAGCACGGAAAACGAAGCATAAAATAGGGAATGTAAAAAGAAAAAAACAAAAAACAGGGGTAATAAGCAGATGAAGGGAAGGTATGGGAAGCACAGAGAAAGGGAAACAGAAAGTCTGGGAAGCACAGAATACGGGAGGCATCAGCTCGAATAGACAGGGTAATTGAAGCAGCGACACCGCCACGATTAAAACATTACCCACATTGCACGCGAAATAAAAACTGTACAATTCGGGATTCTGCCAAAAAATATCATATCATTATCATCCCTTATTTTTCCGATCATCAAAATCTTATCTACGTCAGGGCGATCAGGCTGGTTCCGCAAGTACGAATTTCACAAAGTTCTTCTACGTCGTCAGGATTCGTTTCCCAACAGCTGACTGTCGAGGCGAAGGGGAGGAGGGGGAGGGACGGGAGAAACCAGCAGATCCCGTCAGCAGAATCCTCAGCAGATCAAGCAGGAGCCTCAGAACGCCACGCATCCCACGACCGCCACAAAGCAGGGCCTCTTCAGCGGGCGAAGGCGAGCGCGCCAGCAGCGGTAGGACGACCCCGAGGGCAGCAACAGCAACACAATAACGTCTATATTTTGCGCCCCATCAGGGTTCCTCGCCCGCCCGCCTCAGCAACTATATTGGAATCCGCGAGCGCCGGAGCCCCGATATTAAATATGGCAGCGAGGGGTAGAGGGAGCCGCCGTTAAAACTTTAATCCTGGGCTGTCGGTGGACATACCTTGGCCACGTGCCTCCCCGTCTGCCCTCGTCGCCTCTCCTGCCTGACCTCCGCGCTGACCCTGCCCCTCGGTGGCTGCGTCTGAACTGCCCTCCGCCCCTCGTCTCTTCTCTTCTGCCCCTTCTATTTCTTCCTTCTTCTCTTTTCTTTCTTTCTCTTCTCTCTTCTCTTCTTGTCGATTTTTCTTTTCATCTCTGTTCTATGTCTTATCTTCTCATCTCGCCTCTTCTCTTTCTTACCCTCTCTGTCTCTCTCCTTCTACCTCTCCTCAACTGCCTCATTTTCCCCGTCCTCTCCCTCTTTTACTTCTCCACCTTTCTCCCCCCCTCTCTCCCTCCTCCTCTCCCTCCTCCTTCCTCCTCCTCCTCTCTCTCCTCCCCCCCCTTCCTCTCTCCCTTTCCCTTCATTCATCCCTCTCCCTCTTCCGACCTCAGCAAAATACCACGACGGCCGCGTGTGCCCGACTTTCCCTCCCGACCCTCGACCCGACAACCGACGAATTTCATGACCGACCGTATACATAGTAAATCTCGGGTCGGACTGCAATTTCAGAGACCTCGCGGCCGAACAATGCAAACCCGAAAGACGAAAACGAAAAAAAATAAATAGAAACAAAACGAAAAATAAAAATAAGAAATAAATAATAGAATAGATAAGAGGAAATAAAGACAAAAACATAACGAAAGAGAAGAAAAATAAAATAAACATAAGGGAAAGCAAAACGACTAGAGAGGATTTAGAAAGAAAGAAAGAAAAAAAAAAGGTCTTAAATGATAAAGCACATATGCATACACACACGAAGACTCGCACACGCACACGCACGTACATGCAAACACACCCCTACCCCCCCTCCCACACACCCACACCCACACCTCCCGCCTCCCACGCCCACCGAAGCCTGGGACGGTGGGCGTCCCGACAGCCAACATGACACAAAACATGAGCACATGAAGAACAAAACAGCGGCTTGCGGGGTGGGTAGGGAAGGGGCGGGGGTGGAGCGGGGGAGAAGAGGTATTGTGGAGTGGCGAGAAGGGCGGCGGGTGGAGAGGAGGAGAGGGTGTGGAT